ACCCCCGGGCGGGGACAAGGCCGGGGGACCTGCGAGTGCTGGCACCCCCGGGAGCGGTGGCACTCTTGGAGGGATGCGGGGTCAGTGGACACAGCAGCCCTGGCAGCCCAGAGCCGGCAGTGGCATCGTGGGGATACGGGAGGGCTGGCACCTTGGAGCCGGGGGACCCAGGGGTACCGGTCCCTGGGCAGGGCCATAGCTGGCAGCAATGTCCCTTGCCCACCCTCATGTGCCCAGGGCTGCCAGGGCACTGCAGCGTAAGCGTGGACACATCCCCCAGGACAAGCGCTGGACCCAACACACCACAGACATGCGAAGGGCCCTCCTGCCCCACAGCCATGCAGCTGGAGCCCTGCACATGTCTGGTGTCCCAGGGCAGCAGGCCCCCAGTGCGGGCAGGTGATGCTGCCTCGTCCTGCACCACCAGCCCTGGGCAGCAGGAGCACCCGTGGGGCTCACCCCAATGCAGGGGGTGACCAAGCCAGGGCCAGGTGGGTGACTGTGCACCTACATGCAGAGCTGACGCATACCCACACCTGCCCCTTGAGTCTGGCCCCCAGCCCTGCAGAGCAGACTGACACTCTGCACCAGGGGCACAGCTGATTCCATGGTGACTCCCCCACTCCATGGGGCACAGGGGGAGCTGTCGGGGTGCCAGTCATTCATGCCAGTGTTGAACCATTGCTACTGCAACATGTGCTGGGCACCACAGACCTGAGCGATGTGTGTGCATGTGTGCACGTGTGACACCGGCAAGCAGCAGGAAGCCACACGGTACATGCACAACACCGTGCCAAGGGCAGTGCCAGCATGTGCTCTGCGTCACCAGGAGCTGCTCCTACTGCAGGTCTTCTGGAAGGACTGGCTGAAGCCACGGTGTAGCCACAAGGTCCCTGTACCTTGACACCCTCAGCACCGCACTCCCCGCACCAAGTGGGTGCTGTCCAGCAGCAGCGTGCCTCGGTTCAGCGGCACCCTCTTGGGGTGTTGCTGACTGTGCTGGTGTTTGAGGCTGTGCGAGTAGCTGTGCGCATGCAAGGGCAGCTGAGCGCGACAGGAGGGTACACATTGCCCAGGGCTGGCGGTGGGGGTGTGCAGAGTGTGTGCGACTGTGTGTCAGGCTGTACTGCCACGGGCCTGTGTGTGTATGTGCATTCCCCTGCGCGTTGGTGTAGCGCAGGCGCTGGGTGTGCGCCTGTCTGTGTGTGCGCCGGTGTCACCGCCTGTGCGGGTGCCGAGGTACCGGTGCAGGGCCGCACTGCTGCGGCTGCGG